TTATTTCTGCAGTATAAAGTATGTATATGAAGTATGCAATATACAAACTTTCAAAACGCATGATAGACCCAGCTTCTTTCTAGTTCCATATGATGAATTCACTAATATCAACTGCAAAAATCACATTGTGTACATTTAACTGCCAAGCATGCACATACATATATATATATATATATATATATATTTATATATTAGGGCTGTCAATAGATTACAATTTTTAATCAAATTAATCACACCCTTTTTCTGTGATTAATCGCACACTTCATTGCTAAAAAAAATCTTGAATTGTATAGTATGTGTACAGTGCAACAGCAAATAGCTTTTTTACATTTTAGAGAAGTCAAGTTGCGATACCGAACAGGACCACATGGCGATGCCAAAAAAACCCTAAACCAACCGACGGCTGACTGCATATATCTACGGATCCATTCAGAATAACTAAACAGCAACATACACATGACAAATCAAAACATTATCGTGAATGTGTGTGGAAACAACGTGAATGTACGGAAATGTCTGTGTCTGTGCATAAATACAATGTGCGATCAGTGCGTCAAGAGCGCTCGTACATGCATTATTATAACGGACTCACACGTTCTTACTGAACGACTCATGTACGCCACCGCAATCATCTTTACCTTGATTGCAGTCTTCATCCATCAAAACTTTACTAGCGAGACTGGTTATCAAGTCGAGAAACCGTAGTTGGTGTCTCATCTGGCCATACAGCGGTGGGATGTGTTGACATTCCGTTCAGTCTGTACTTCACACAGCGCGATGTGTGAGGGCTCGCACTCTTCAGAGACAATCACAGAATATGACAGAGCTCGTGTTTAAAAGCGAAACACACTGGAATGAATAATTTCTGTGCATAAATACAATGTGCGATCAGTGCGTCAAGAGCGCTCGTACATGCATTATTATAACGGACTCACACGTGCTTACTGAACGACTCATGTACGCCACCGCAATCGTCTTTACCTTGATTGCAGTCTTCATCCATCAAAACTTTACTAGCGAGACTGGTTATCCAGTCGAGAACACGTAGTTTGCGTCTCATCTGGCCATACAGCGGTGGGATGTTGACAATCCGTTCAGTCTGTACTTCACACAACGCGTGACATGTGAGGGCTCGCGCTCTTTAGAGACAATCACAGAATATGACAGACAGAGCTCGTGTTTAAAAGCCAAACACACTGGAATGAATAATTCACTGAAAACGCAACGCGAGTTTCTGTTCTCTCTGCAATCTCTGATGTAATCAGCTTGGTTTCCTTTATATTAGCGCTGTTTTGGACGGATTGTTTGAATGCATTCGCTTACTGGATCATTGGACTGAAAACTTTCCTGGAGTTTAGCGGCTTAAAATAATTGAATTTGATCTCAAGCAGAGAAGCAAAATTGGGTTAAAGGGTTAGAATAGAAATTGTGCTTCAGTAATTTTGCGTAAAATTATTTTAACACGTTAAGGATTGTCAAATTAATCGCATGCGTCAACATTGACAGCCCTAATATATATATATATATATATATATACATATACAGTGGTGTGAAAAAGTGTTGGCCCCCTTCCTGTTTTTTTTATTTTTTGCATATTTGTCACACTTAAAAGATTCAGATCATCAAACAAATTTTAATATTACACAAAGATAATGCAAGTAAATACAAACTTCAGTTTTTAAATGATTATTTATTTTATTAAGGGAAAAAAGCTGTCCAAACCTGCCTGGCCCTACGTGAAAAAGTAATTGCCCCCTAAATCTAATAATTGGTTGTGCCACGCTTTGCATCAACAACTGCTATCAAGTGTTTGCGATAACTGGCAATGAGTCTTTCACATCGCTGTGGATGAATTTTGGCTCACTCTTCTTTGCAGAATTGTTTTAATTCAGCCACTATATATATATATATATATGAGCACAGTATGCAGTGAGGAGCATGCTAGTATGTCATTGAGAACACACCCAAGTAAACTTGTGCAAAAGCCAGCATCTACGCTTATGTACAATGTTTAATAATATTCTAATTCTGTAACCATGTTCTCAGATATCCCTATGGCCCTTCCATTAATGCATATTAATGAGGCTCAGGACTTATATTTAGATTGTCTAATTACAATGCCCAAGTCCATTAGTTCTTTGGAGCCCAGGAAATGGCTTGGGGGGAGGGCTCATTGATATTAGACCATCTCTTGGTGTAATAACAGACCTGGAAAGGGGGTAGGCATAATGGTTTGTTGTGGATAAAGAGGGGGCGATTCAGGGTAGATAGGGAGGGGGTTAAGAGTGTGTGGGGTTAGTGGTTCTCAACCACATGTGTGCGAGTAGGGATGTAACGATTCACTCAACTCACGATTCGATTTGATTCACGATTTTGATTTCACGATTCGATTCGATTCACGATTATTATAATTTTTTTTTACAAAATTAGATTTAAGACAAATTATAAATTAAATGTGGCCTTTTATTATTGCTTGGACAAAATGCTGCATATTTCTATTTGAATCGATTTTTCAACCGGCTCGCGGTTAATCGTTACATTCCTATGTGCGAGTAATTAAATGAGTATAATTGAAACCACACTTCTCCTCTAAAGCTGCCCCCCCCACCCATCCCAACACTCGTTCTCTTTCTGTCCCCCATCTCAATCCCATTACCACTTTCTGTCCCTGAATAACAAACCCCAAAAGACAGAGAGACAGAAAGAAAAGGAGAGAAGTCATTTAAACAGCAGTGCCTCTGGCGATTCCAGTGATGAGATTTAGAGGGGTGAACCCTCAGCCGAGGCACCTATTTTTCATTCATTAGCCTTGATTACATGCTTAATGTTTGTATCATGGGATGAACAGACATATGATTTTCTTGTCATACTTATGATATTCATGTCTAACCTTAAAGAATGTTTCAGATTCAAAACAAGCTCTGTCCACTGCATCCTTGACATGCTGTTGATTATCACAGAAAATGATTTCATCTCGGTCTAAAAACATGCATCATGTTTACAGAATGCCCTTATAATGGAAGTTTATGCAAAAACACATTTTGGAGAATTGGGGTTGGTAATGTTTTTGAAATGCTTAAAGGGATACTCCACCCCAAAATGAAAATTTTGTCATTAATCACTTACCCCCTTGTCGTTCCAAACCCGTAAAAGCTTTGTTCGTCTTCGGAACACAATTTAAGCTGGTGAAATGCAGCTTTCACCAAAGCTGCATTTATCTGATCAAAATACAGTAAAACAGTAATGCTGTGAAATATTATTTAAATTTAAAATAACTTTTCTCTTGAATATATTTTAAAATGCATTTTTTTCCTGTGATGCAAACCTTAATTTTCAACATCATTACTCCAGGCTTCAGTGTCACATAATCCTTTAGAAATCATTCTAATATGCTGATTTGCCGCTCAATAAATATTTATTATTATCAATGCTGAAAATAGTTGTGCTGCTTCATATTTTTATGGAAACTGTGGTACTTTTTTTCAGGATTCTCATGAATAGAGTTTGAAAGAAAAGCTTTTACTTGAAATGGAAATATTTTGACAGTAGAAATGTCTTTACTGTCACTTTTGATTAACTGAATGCAGTCTTACTGAAAAAATCAACATCTTTCAAAAAAAAAAAAAAAAAACTTACTGATCATAAACTACATATATAGACACAAAAGTGCAGTGCTTTGCCAACTTAAAGCTTAAACTTGAAATTATTGTCTGTGGTTATCAACAGCATGTTGAAAAAGCTTGACTTGTATTGAACCAAAATAATTTCTTTAATCTTTCTGTATAAAAGCAGACTGAACCAAAAGAGTAAAGTTTTGTTGATGCAAGTATTGTTTGACAACCTTTAACGTGGTTCTGTATCGCATATTGACATGGGCAACTCTTCTGACTCGATGTGTAATCCATCTTCCATGGCCGTTCTTATGGTGGTAATGGGACACTGCTAAGGAAAAGGTTTACTGAAATGTAACAATCAAATTCTGTGTCCGGGATGAACTCAAATGCAATTATAATGTCATTTACAGAAAAGTACATTATGCGAATGAAGTGATGTTTACATTTCAGGCTACCAGCTTGGACCTTTCTTTTGTATATTACCTTTATAAAAAAGTACTGTGATAGTATCAAATGGTAATACTATGGTACTTTGCTATTTACCATGATACTGAATGACTAATGTATTTATAGACCATGGTATTTACAAGATACTTCAAAGTATTTCAAAGAACACTATGGTACTACCATTAAAACCATTATAGTCATATTTATATATAATCACACAATTTTGGCCAAATTGTGCAGCACAGCAACTTTTTTTTTTTTTCTCTTGAATTTTTATCAGAAAAATCACAATTTATTTTTTCCCCAAATCATGCCGCCCTAATTGACCCTTCGCAAAGACCCGCCCCCCTTATTTACTGTTGCTATGTCCGACAAGCCATACAGCTCTCACGCTACACATTATGCTCTCACGCACATACACTGCAGAGCAAAGAGAAAACTGACAACGCAGTGTGACAGACAAAACAGAGCAGGTTACTTTTGGTATGAAACAAAGTTTCAGCTCTCAAATTTTGTCATTTTTCAAGAAATTCAAACAATAAATAGTTTTATGGCTTTTTAATATGTCGTGACAGATTGCTGTAGCGCCTCAGTTCAAGCGGCACGTGAACCGATTTTATCTTCCTCTACTAGTTATAGCATGAAATAAACATGAATGAACATCAGAAGGTATCTTGTTTCAACCGCAGAAAGATCTTGTTTCAATCGCCTGTCAATCAAACTTCCTGTGAAGGGCCAATTACCATGGTACATATTCAAAAACATGGCATTACCTTGGTACTGTCTAAATAACATGATACTACTATCGTACTCTTTATGTTAACGCATCAAATTTCATAACTATTAACTAGAAATAGCTTCAGTATCTCAACGATCTCAACAAAAGAAGGGAATTTTAGTACCAGGAATTCACAAATTCTTATTCTCTGTCTCTCTCAGCTTGCGTCGAGTTTGGCAGCGGGGTGGTCGTGGTTCAAAGGTGAAGCATCGGGGCGGCACAATGGAGAGTGAGCAGAGCACTCCTGCCTCCAGTGCCAGCAGCAGCACAGGCACCAATACCTCCACCACAAACTCCATAGGCACCACCAGTGCCTCCACTGCCAGCATTGCCAACTCCACCAGCAGCAGCAGCACGAGCAGCGGAAGACTGGCCATTCCACAGATATCTGTATACAGCGGCATACCTGACCGACAGACTGTACAGGTGCACGTCACACTCACCCTAAAACATAACCACCTGGCAGAATCAGTCAGTTCAAATATAGACAACTGAGTTCAGAAATGCATAGTAATTGTGTTGATAATATTTGTGTGCATGTTAACGATTTACCACATTTCTGCTTGTCAAACTTTCTTGTATAATCACACTGCATTGCACCACACATCACTTTTTTTCTTGCTTAAATGTTTAATTATTTGACTTTAAGTCCATACTGCCATCTGCTGGTGTGATTATTACTGCAGTTAGAAGAGGAATGACAATGAAGGTTTCAGTGCTTCAGACATATTCCTATTCTTTCCTCTGCTGTGGAATGTGGTTGTTCATTATTGACTCAGGTCTTGACCTTTAACCTCTCCCTACATGTAAATTAAGTGGTCTGGAATTAGACACTTTTGCTAAATTTCAGCCAAATGTGATATTGATAATCTTATATCCAATTTAAACACTGTAATTAAAGTACATATAATCATTAATTTCATAATTTTTTTCTTTTTTGTAATAATAATAATAATAATACAATGTTGTTGTTGTTGTTGTTATTAACATTAATATTGTTAATAATTATTATTATTATTATGATCATGATGTACAGCAGTGGTTCCCAACCCAGGGGTCGCAACCCCCACTAGGGGTCGCTAATAATTTGAGGGGTCGCCAAGTGCACTTGTTTTTAAAAATAAATAAATAAAATATATATATATATACATTTCATTTATAACAGCACAATAAATATTTCAATTCTAAATATTAAAAAAAAAAAATAATCATTTATGGAAAGAGAATAAATTCTCTTAACGTCGAGAATTTTTTGCAGCGTATCGCAAGAGTGGGAACGTACAGACGTAACTTTAAAAAAAGACGCAGCAAAGAGAAAATGGCAAAGCGCCAGGGAGAAGATAAAAATGAATGCGCTAAAAAGAAAACAAGGACTTATTTGGACAGTTATCTTGAATTCGGTTTCATTGAAGCAATGGACAAGGTGAGAATTGAGTGTGTAATCTGTGGTGAGAGACTAGCGAATGAAAGCATGAAGCCCTGCAAACTAAGAAGACATCAGAGCACCAAACACCCACAGACGGTTTGATTAAATTATATTCATGTTAATAGATTTTTAACTTGCTCCCGTTTGTTCATCAGTTAAAAAGCAGAGCCTGTCTGAAATGTCTGTTCTTGTGAACCCTTACATGTTGTTACAGGTTTTTAAGGTAATAAGTGAAATGGATAGATTTGATTGATATTTACATTAACATAATAAAATGTGCTGCTGTTATTTGTTCATCAGGTTTAGGAAAAAAATTGGAACCTGTTGTTGGGAAAAAATCAATAGTTGCAGCTAATTGTTTGCATTCAGCTGTTTTTGCATTGATTAAAAGTGTATTCAACTGACTGTCACATTAAATGAAATGTGTCAGCTAGTGTGTTTGAATGGGGGGGCATGGGGGTCGCTAAAAATTTTCACTGTTAAAATAGGGGTCTCCTGAAAAAAAGGTTGGGCACCATTGCTATAGACTACTGTCTTGTCCTTCAAAATGTGCGTCCCTGTCATTGGATTGCAATCGGATAAGGGGCGCTTGCATATCTAGTCTCAGTATGGCAGCCGCAGTGGATGGATAGGCTACCAAAATGAGAACTAGCGATCTGAAACAATGGGCCTCAGCACCCGAAGGAGTGTGGTTACCAGACGTCCCGTTTTTCCCGGGAGTCACTAAAATAGGGGTCTCGTGAAAAAAAGGTTGGGAACCACTGATGTACAGCACACTTCATGCATAAAATGCAGCTCAAAGTGCTTCACGTGACATGAGTTAATGGCAAAAATGGCAACATCCAATCAATCTAAAGTAGTTAAAATTATTTAAACTGCACCTATGTTCACTTAATTGTGTAAAGAAACCCAACTACATTCCTATCATTAAAAATTGTGATATGATATATATGATATTGACATGGAAATGTACTGCATAACAGGAAAGACTCGGCTGTATTCTCAGATCAGTGCATGATCAGACACAAGCAGCACTGTTCGTTAAACTCAGTTCAGGCTGCACTTTACTCATACCAAGACCAGGGGTCAGGATGCCTGTTGCCTAGCAACTGTGTGGTTGTGGGCAGTTCAGTGAGGACATAAAGGACGAGACAAACGGAAGAGCGGGATGCTGGTGAACATATTATAGCTGGGAGAAAACGATAGGAAGGTACTATTAGTGATGAGAACGATGCACTTATCTACACTATCGTCATATAATGAAAGTGTTGTTTGAACGTCTGCTCTGAATATTTGTTCAGGTATTTCACCATCTTGTTTTGATTTTGTTCTGAATGGTTTCGGCATGTTATGGGATGCTAGCTCAGGATCAGTATTACAGAACAACTGTTAAGCTAGGTGATCATATGGTTTGCAATCTTTATTAAGTAACATTATTATTAGAGTTTGACAGTACAAAATGTTATTTTTATATTGGATGTATAAGTATATATTTGGTTGTCATTAAACATAAATATCATAAAATGTAACTTATCCTATACAATATCAATGCGTTATTGTTGTTATGAGTTATTAGACTTGCAATGGCATGCGTATAAACAAGCCTTGAAATACAGTAGCTAATATTAAACATCTTCCTATTAATTTAATATTATGATAATATATAACCATATTAAACATCAAGGCTGACCTTGAAAGCAATATGGGAAGTGAAACAACATAAGAATCAGAGATCTCTGTCTCTTTCAAGCTTGTTGCAGTTAATTTTCTGACCAAAAGGAGGAGACAAATGGAAATTATTGAGACCATGTATGATGGAACAAAACAAAAAGTTGCCAAGTAAGCATTAAAAGATTAGGATTGCAATCTGACCTATAACAAAAATTTGAACTTGCAGCTACTTATGATTTAAATAGCAACTTTGTCAGATGTTTCTCTCAAACATCTTAAGGTGAATACAATAGAAATACATGAGACAATTGTTGACATATAGCAATGGGAACAGAGCTATAAAAATGCTGACACGTCTCCACATTTAAATTGAGATTTCTGACTTTGATTGGTATCTTGGCAAATATGAAAACAGTTTGAGACACTACTGAGACTGAAAGTCTAGAGGAGACGTGAGATTACCAAAGTCATTTTCTCAGGGGAAAAAAATCTTTCAGAATCTGTAGACTTCAGCTAAACTCTCCATTTGCACTCCATCTAATCTCACTGCTCTCTATGTGAAGCAATTAAGATATTATTGAGATTGAACCTGTTTTCTCACTTTTTTCTGTCTCTCTTGAATGGTAGGTGATCCAGCAGGCTCTACATAGGCAGCCCAGCACAGCAGCGCAGTACCTGCAGCAGATGTATGCAGCTCAACAGCAGCATCTGATGCTGCAAACGGCAGCTCTACAGCAGCAGCACCTCAGCACAGCACAGCTCCAGAGCCTCGCAGCAGTGCAGCAGGTCAGTTAGCATCCATAGCCTCCTACAGCAAGACAGAAGCATAATACACCCAAATACCCTTACACTCTCTGTCTGTCATGGTTTCTCCCTCTCAGGCCAGTTTAGCAGCCGGCAGGCAGAGTTCGAACCAGAATGGGACCTTGTCTACCCAGAGCGGGTCATCACAGACCACAGTAAGCTATTATTTGGATGCAGGCAGCTACTGAAAACAAGCACATTTTAATCACGTCAATATCTTAGTTTGCATGTGACATAACATTCAGGCTGCTCATGTCACAACTCTGTCTCTCTTATTCCCACAGATTAATTTAACCACGTCCCCTGCTGCTGCTCAGCTGATCAGTCGTGCACAGAGCGTAAACTCCACCCCCTCTGGGATATCCCAGCAAGCTGTGTTGCTAGGCAACGCCACAAGCTCCACCCTGACAGCCAGCCAAGCTCAAATGTACCTGCGGGCCCAGATGGTGAGCACACCTGTATAACCACAAACACAAGAGTCTTTCATGCTTGTGAAGCTGCTTTCTATATTAAATATATATTTAGGAGTGAAACACTGACTCTTAATCAGTCATTGCTTTCTTGCTGAATGCCAGAAAGAAGTAGGATGAATTCAGCTAAATTAGGCCACTGATAATTAATGTAAACAACATTTGACCCTTTAGTTTATTTTTATTCTTTTAAGCAATATATCACAGATAAAGCACTAACAATACTATTTACAGGTGAAGTTGTAATACGTTTAATGTATTGTCTAGATGAGTGTTTCCCAACCGGGGTGCCATGTAAAAAATCCTTTTTGAATATTTTTAAATTGCTAAAATGTTCAAAAAAAGCATATATTATATAATTTCCATTTCTGATGTCGCCAATAATTAGAGATGCACCGAAATTTCGGCTGCCGAAAATTAGTTCACCGCTCAGGTTTCACTTTCACGTGGTGTGGCGCGCTGCGTATTATCCCGCTCTATGCGTGTGCGCTCCGCTCAGTCGCTCCACTCGTATACCGTTCATGCGAATCGGAACAGCAAAGTCCACTCAATAATGCCACTAAATATGCAACTATTCAAATTTGCAGAATAATGGCGTGAACAATAGTTAAAATAAGCATAACCCATGTTTTTACTGTTGTAGTCTAATGCCGTGGTTGTAGTCTAAACATGGTTCTGCATTCTGGTTATACTGCAAACTGGTTAATACTGGTTAGATCATTCTAGATCAACCAGAGTATGATGGAGAGCTTCCTGAGGATGTGATATTAATGAGAATCTTTATGTGTGATTATTTTAGGCTCAGCAGAGTAATCTTGTGCATGTAGCCAGGAGTCTGGGCCGAGCCGTCCCTCTGTCCCCTCAGCTGATCCTGGCTCCTACAGCTACAGTAACTGCTCTACAGTCTGACACTAATACAGCCAATAACACACAGTCTGTCTCTGCACAGGTACACACACATGCTGAAATACACTGCTGTAATATATGCACATCCAAAAGTACCCATGATTGCACAAAAATGTTTTATTTGCATTCATGAATATGCGGTTTAAAACAATTATCTTCATGAAGCATTCATAAAATATAGGATTACTTGGTATTTCAATTATAATTTGGAACATTTATTGTACATGTATTCATTCAGCAGACTCTTTCATCTAGAAATACTTTAAGGAATCAATCCTAAAAGATTCTAAAAAGAATTTTATAGGTTACCAATACAGCACAACACAAAATGTATATTTTGATCTTTTAGAAAACCCTGATATGTTTGTTAATAGGATAAAATGCTCTATCCGTGACATCACAAGGAAGCCTGTAGCACCCCTCTATGATGTCCAAAGCAATAATATTAATAATATTACTAATTACTAGTAATAATACAAATGAATAATACCATAAATATTCCATTATTTAATAATAATAATAATAATAATAAATAGCATAGGAATTGGAATAAATTGAATTATTTTTAAAAAAATCCAGTTTATCCAGTAGTTCATTCGTTAAAGATTCTTATTTGATCACATTAGGATTAGGACCATCATGATTGGCTCCAAATTCTAATAAATATTCCAATAGGAATAGTGTGCACATTACTCTAGGATCTTTAGCCTAGGTAATTCTATGCAAAATATTACTTTTTAAATACGACAACTCAAATGTTTTGAATGTATTTCAATAAAAAAGGTTTACTGGTGAATGTATGACTTTCACAGGTGCAGAACCTTGCCCTGCGCAACCAGCAGGGGGTGTCTTCCACCTCTCAGTCCTCAGGCCTGCAGGCACTGAGTTTAAAGCAGACCCCCGTCTCCATTCAGCCCACCCCACTCATCAAAACACCCAGCCAGAGTGCTTCCAGTTCAGACACTGGGAAAAGCAATGTGAACACTGCTTCCGCGGATGGAGTGAAGAAGGGAGAGGAAGGGCAAACAGAGATGAAAGCAGTTAACATGAGTCGTAATGTTTCCTCGTCACATCCCTTACTCGCACCAGGTAAACTCAGACCCATATGGCCTATAGTGCTGCTAAAAATATTACAACACTTGTGCAACTGCAAATGATGGTAGAGCTTTTGTAAGAACCATTTCACTTTTCTGAGGCATTTTTTGGAATGAGTGTTTTTAGTGGATTTAAGAAGTCTCAATTTCACACAGTGTGTCCCCCACAATGATGCTCAACAACTACAGTTACTTCTAGTATCGTCTCTTACTTTGGCTTATATTTGAGCTAGTAATGTTGTCATCAAGCACCTTTTACCCAAAGTGGTCCAGAAATTGTTGTGTGTGTGCACATTTGGTCTTTAAACAAACTGAAAGGTTCAATTAATTTCAACAGAAATGTTTTCTGACATGTGCACTCTTATAAGCTCCAGCTTCACTTGTCTGTCTATCATGTCACACACTAAGTACCAAACAAAACAGAAATGCACCCAAGGCTACATTTGTTCTACATGGCTTAAGCTCAAGTGCATTAATGCATACGTGGCCTTTGAAGGGCACGCACTTTCTCAGAGGAGTCTTTCAGTGTATGTCAACATCTGACATCTGCCATCCATCATTCCAGTGGTCTCTAATCATAACAGCTCACACAGGGCAATTATCCTGCACACTTAGAAGCAGGTACTTGGGCGTGTCGAGGCTGGTAGAGACTTTGCTATGTGTTTGGTTATGCTTTGGTAGAAAATTAAAAAAGGCCTCAGATTTTTGTTTACAAAAAAAAAAAAAGAATCTTATAGGGTAGCTCCAGGGTTCAATATTAGCACCAGTCAAGTGCCAAAAGAAGTAAAAATAGGAGTTTTGTTTGACCAAATTAAAAAAGAAAAGAAAAAATACTTTTCCACATCAGGTCCAAGAATAAAAAGAGGAAAAAAGAAAAATTGACAAAAATATTCGATATAAAAAAACAAACCACCTTTCACATTCCAGAAAAGAAGAATTCTGGAATAAAAGTATTTATAAATACTTATGATTAAATGTGTAATTAAGGTAAATGTGTAATGAAACCGTGCTTCTCTTTACTGTAGCTACATTTGTGCATTAATATCAACTCGCTTCATTTCAGTTTCTCATTAGAGCTGCATTTCTATTCTTTTACATCATTTGCAGATGTACAGTTTATGCCACTGTTTATGTACACAAATACCAGAATGAATGAAGCTTAAACAAGCTTCAATTTGATTGAACAAGTGTGTTTGAGAGGGTCCAACTGAGCCTCAGTGGAAAGGAAAGGTAAAAAGCCACCTGACATGTATTGGGATGTAGTTTCCACGGCAGCGTGCGCCAGAGAGCTGATGTGATGCCTGTTATGATGCATGGTTTTCCCCTTGTGCATTAATTGATATTCACAAATCTGGAAACCCGTCCTGGATTATTCTCTTAGATGAATTGTTCAGTTTACTTTTAAGAAATGTCCTAATGTTATTAAAATCTGAATATTTTATTAAAAATCATGTGTTTGTGGATACTAGAAAGAGTCTGGACTGGAGATTTTGATAAAAAGTCTTACTATTTCCATAAACATTATGTCTTGAGAATATGATTCCCAACTGATTGTTGTATTTCACTCCTTGTTTTTGTTCTGTAGGAACAGTCAAAACCAGTAAAAATAGCTTGTTTTGAAGTTGAATGTACTCTCCATTTTATTTTTGTAACAAATGATTGAAACTATTATTTTGGGAACAACCATGCACCAGAGGGCTTGTTAAAAGAAAGTAGGAAAGAAAAGAGCCACAGATATCAACTGCACTCAAACTACTAAAGTAAAAATGACATGCACCCACATAGAAAAATCTTGCTAAAAAATTGCTTTTCATGGCTCAGGAAACGTACTGGAGTTAAACTGAGCACAGTCTGAGACACTGATCTCTTCTGAGAGCCTAGAGGAGACAGGTCTTTATCTGAGATCTTTATCTCAGGAAAAGTGTTTCTCTATTCGCAAGACGCATGAGATTTCAGAGATCTGATTCGGCCCAACGTGAGAAAATGTACATATTGTATGTCTTCAAGCATATATGTCATTGTTTTAATGTGTTATGTGTTGTGGCTTTGCATATAGCTGAACGTTCAACAGGAAATTTCGGGGTTTTCCAGGGTTGCGCTCGGCAGGGAATAACTCATCAACTCCTTATTCTGAACATCCGGGAGAAAGAAAGAGTGAGAGAAAGTGAGCACAGAGGATTGAGTCATCTGAACACACCATCCCACACCATTCACATTAAGATGGAAGAACATTCCCACACTGAACCTATTCTGTTTGCTATTAACAGTTTTAAAGAAAGAATGTATTTGTTCCTGACTTCTGCTTCATATATCCTGTGTGCATTTCATGTGACAGAACACACAAGCGTATATATATAAACATAAAAACCACATGCTAGCTAACTTTCCAACCAGTTAGAGTTCTTCAGATTCTTCTACCGCTCATAAACTTTTGAGGTTGTGATCTCAACGTGCCCAACTCTTAAGGTTTTGTGTGCTTGAATGTTCTCCTGCTGAGTTAAAACTACATTTTAACACAGTTTCCTGCAAGTCCTCCAGTCAAACACCTAATCACAGTTTTAAAACTCATCCAGTTTCCAATGTTGTAGTCCTGGATACAGAAGTTGTACTGGAAAACCTAAGCACAGAGACGAATGTTATTAGATACAGCAAAAAAAAGACAAACTAAACAACAAAAAATCTAAAATAAAACTAAATTTGTTGAAATGTAGTCAAGGTTCCCACACATTTGACTCAATGAATTGCCATGACTTTTCCCATGTACTTTCCATGTTTGTGATTTCTTGGATAAATATTTTAAAGAGTCATTTATATTCAGACTGATTCACCAATGAATCAATCAGATGGATTTGTGAACTGGTTCAAAACAGATTCATTGACAATGAATTTGCTTACAAAGAATTCACTAATGGCTTGCAATGTTACTTTAACAAGAGCATTATTAAATTGAGAAAAAAAAATTAGAGCATACGGATTATAACTTTTAAAGTTTCCAGGGCTAGAAAGCACAATTTTAAAATTCCCATGACTGAGGGAAACCTGTGCAGTGTAGGAATTTACCCATGCCAGCTTGAAAGAACATTGTCCAAATTTATGAAATTCCATGTATCTGTTACTGTCGTTTTATATTTGCAACTGTCAGTTTAATGTGTAGTCATGTGAAACAGTATGTAATAGTAAGTGTTTGTCTGTGGTTTCTTTTTCCAGCATATGCCCAAATCCAGCCGCAGGCCCTGATTAAGCAGCAGCCGCAGCAGTTTGTCATTCAACCCCAAGCCCCACCCACCTCAAGAACCCAGCCTCAGTTACTGCAGACCGTCTCGGTCCAGCCCCACCAACAGACAGCCTCACTGGCCATCCAGAGCTCCACCCAGACCACATCGGTAGCAGGGATCATTCCGGTTTTGCCTAAACCAGCACTTCACAACCAAGGATCGGCTCAAAGTCAACAGGCCACCATCTTCCATTCAACTGTAAGCCACCATGCACTTGCACACACAGGCCTGGCCCATGCTAAAGCTCAACCGGTCCAACTGACAGCCATCAATCTCCAAATCCAACCAGCACAAAGCCAGGTAATGGACTCCCTTATTAGAGCCTTATTGTAGATTAAAGATCATGTATACAAATCAGAAGCAACTAACTACTTCTATACTATTTAGAGTTCAAGACTTGCTCAGGATGACAAGGAGAAGCCCACCTCTTTGGTGGTAAGAGAGCTTTGTCCCCCAGTACAAATGCAGCCAACCACTACGACCCAAGGCACTGACCCCCCTGAACAATCCAAAGCCGATACTGTTAACACTACATCTCAAACTCAAGGTACAGTGGACAAATTTTCACGTTTACAAGTATAGTTTCACAATCAAACAATGCAATCATAAAACTGCAAGTCAATACATAATGATTACTAGGACACAAGATTCCATGAAAACACAATAATTTCCACCTTTTTCCCACCTCTTTAAATACACACTCTCTCTCTCTCTCTCTCTCTCTCTCTATATATATATATATATACTATTTATTTCATTTGGATCAAAATACAGTTACAACTATTAAACTAAATGCACATACAAATCTGCCTGATGAATAAACCAACAATTAAGACGATATTCTGCACTTCGAATTCCCTCAATATTTATTATACAAGTAAATAAAAATTTTTTTTTTAAAATGCATCCCTAAGAAAAACACGGCAAGACTGTGACACCTGCAAATATTTTATAATGGATATTCTGGAGAGATCAATAAAGACTGAATGTTGTACACTAACCAGTAAAACAAATGACCAAAATATTGGTGCCAAAATAATTGTATTATACATTTCAATGCATTAAATCACAAAATATCAAAATAAGTGGTACTGTCAAACAAAGATGAACAGTTACATTAACATTTGAGACAAGCACAATATTACCAAATACACTCTTAATTTTGAGCAGTGTATGTTAGTATATGTACATGTTATTGTAACTTTTTGTGCAGTGTTTTGCTTGAAATGTGTGCTTGTGCTACTTGACTTCAAACGACTGACTTCAGTGTGTTTTATATTTTCTTATCTAATGCAATGACATTCACACATTATTTATATGACAAGTGTCCAATATGAAGTGTCCAAATACTTTCTTTTGTATATATGGTTTAAGTGTCCAAATACGTTCTTAAGGGCACTGTATCAAATACCACGCAGCTTGCAGGCGTTTGAGGAATTGAAGGATCACAGCTGCATTAAAATACAAGGCTTTCGACACCCGCACGGTGAACCAGATTTGCCAAAGGAGGAGGTAGTAGGATGGGGGGTGGCATGCAATTCCCACGTACAGTAATATGTACTAGAATTGACTCTGGGCCAGTCACATGACTGGCAGAAGGCACTAATCAGTCAGTAATTTAAGAGACAAACTGGTTTTGGACAAGGGTGCTTTCCTACCTTCAGATAATGCCCAATATAGCCTGCATAGAAGACACAACCGCTGCCACCAGCCAGTGAAAGATTTATTGAACCTCTACAGAGTCATGTGATCTGCCACTTGAGGCTGCTGCTGCCATCCGAGAAAGACTGAACCGCCTCTCTGGCAGAATGTGCAGTGCTTGTGCGTGGGAGTGGAGCACTAGAAAAGAAGCAGCGCACCCTGCGTGTTGCGTAGAATCGCACGCGTGGCGGAGTCTGGATATTCTGTCATTAATATAATCAGGCGTGTGGGAATGAGGCTGCCCCTGTGTTTTGAGGTGGAATTGAAGAGCGCCCCTGTGGGAAATGACTTTTTACTGCGCTTTGTCGGTAAGCTACATACAGTATGTCTTGTGTTTTGGTTAGTGGGCTTAAAAGAAAAACGCAGTGGTCTCGAGGCGCGTTTCTTTGAACGGTGTAGACTTGACACGCTGTCTTAAAACGCGACGCAACTGACGCCAGTCTAGTGTCTAACGATGGCGTCTGCAGACTGAATGCAGTAAAAATACAACAACAAGAGAAATGTTTTTTTGAGAGAGAGGTTTTAGACGCCTAATGATGGTGGCATGTTTATTCAGGTAAGAGTTCGCACAAAATGAAGTCATTACTTACCCTGTTCCAACCTTATTTCCATTCTCCAGTAAACTTAAGTTATGTCTTTTGACATCTTGTCCAAACAGTGACGTTATCAAGTACGCAGCTGTTCCATTTGCAGGATTACCAGACTTGTGTCCTCCCGTCCTCAGGAGTTCGCACCCCCGAGTCGAATTTGCCAAGTCCGAACTACTAAGTTACTTTGCGTACTTGGTATTGAGAAACGGCCTATGTCTTTTGACAAACTGTCCATACAGTGACGGTGGTTGCCATTACAAACACAAGTAGTCCGTATTCCGAAGTGATATGATAGCTTTGTGTGAGGGACGGAATAAAATTTTAGTCGTTATTGGCTGATAATTTCCCTCAGACGTTGCTCTCAAATATCATTGGCAGTTGTGTCGAGATTAAAAATGGCGCTGTCGTACGCGCCGCTCTAATTGGACGTCATTGACGTCAAACGCCATTGATGCGTTTACGTGCACGTTCTTAAAGGGGTCATATGATGTTGCTAAAAAGAACATTATTTGGTGTAATGAAATGTGTTTATGCGGTTTAAGGTAAAAAAAAACACATTATTTTCCACATA